ATCCAGGATCCTACCAAATTCGTGCTATTAAAAATGTTCTTTATCTCAAGCAGAACTTTGGCAAAACAGTTTCAGAAAATGCAGAGTACCAGGACAGATTTTTCCCTTCTATCAAATCATCTTACTTTTGTGGGTTTATGTCACAACCTAAGCATTATTCATTCAATGTGGCATTAAAGGACAGTCACATTTATTCAGTGGAGAACGTTTTTTTCTTTTTAATGTTCAACTCATAAAACTATGTCAAGAGATGATAGAGTTTTGACAAATTGATTAGAACTAAGATGGTTTAAGTTGGAAAAACTCTAACGTACATGAAGAAGACACTACAGAACGTACAGAAGTTTCAGACACTAATAATATGAGTCATGTGAATCCAGTTCGGCAGCAGTGATGCTGAAACGTTTCTTACCCTTCGAATAACACGATAAATGTGAGACAACGCTCCTAAAAGTATCTCACCACATATTTTATAATATCATGGGTCTTTTAAAGGATAACTTACTGAATCTGTAAGAAAAAATATAGCAGTGATATTTAGTACTCTTCAAGAGACTTTCAATCCAAGAAGAAAAGGCAGTTTATAAACTCTGAAGCTCATTAACCTTCATAAAATACTGGTGAGTTAGGTGGCAAATGTTACTCTTCTCAGTTCATAGATGACTGAACTGAAGCACCAGGAGGTTAACTGATTTTTCCAGTTCATAAAGCAAGTCACAGCATAAAGGGCGGTCACACAGAATTCTTGACTATTGACTCATGTGAAGCTCTACTCTCTGGATAAATAATTTATTAAATAAGCAGATTATAATTTACTGGATAATGCCATTAGACATTTGTCCAAATAATTTGCTCCTGACACGATTATAACTCTCTAAAGGGACAAGATTGTCTAATTTCCCCAAATACTGTAATAGTTTGAATCACTGCAGGTAAGTAATTGAAGGAAATATTCCAGACTGCTTTTATACTAGTGAAACTATTAAACATATATGACTATTTTGAAAGAATTAATAGTAACTTACCAATAAGTAAGATAAACATCACATTTAATACACCTTCTATGAGGAACATTTCAAATACAATAAATGGGAGAAAGTTAGATACATTTTTATTTATTGTTGCTAAGGCAAAAGTGAAAGGACATCTGCTTGTTTAAAAATTAGGGATGATAAAAAAGGTAGGAAATCTACATATAAAAACATATTTGCTAGGATATTATTAGAGGTAGGCGATGGGTCTATAGGAGTTCCCTTTTATTATTTTTCTAACATTGTATACATTTTAAATTCTGTGTCACAAAATTTTAAAATAAAGTATCTAGAACAGTTTCTAGAACATGTAAAATAATTATTCAAAATAAAAAATAAGATTGAAGAATACACATTTCACAGTGGGTATAAGTTTGACATATTTTGGCCAGTGATCTAGAGTGTTATTTTATACCAAAAACTATTTAGGTGTATAGAGTATTCCCAAGTTGTAAAATGTTGAAGGATGAGCTCATCTGTTAGCTTCATTTTTTTAAGACAAAACAGAAAAAAATGAAATAATTTGCTCAATATTAAATATTGTGGTCCTAGAGAATTCTTTATGTTTCTTGGAATTTGGGGACCCTGTTGGACACATAATTTCAGACAACGGCAGGCTGTCTGAACAAATCGCAACATCTTCATTTACATTGACGAAAGTGAAATTGTCATCAGTTTAATTATAGTCAAAAGAATTAGAATAAAAAGAAAGGGAGACAAGATGAAGAAAGGAAGGAAGGAGGAAGGGAAGAGAGGGAAGAAGGAACCCAGCGGCTTCTGGACAACAGGGAAAGTTCATAAATTTACCTTGCATCTTTCCTTCTCTCTTCCTTCCCATCTCGTTAAGTTTGTCTCTCATTGTTTATCACTTGAACGATTGTAATGGCGTATGTATGAGTTTTTTCATTCTGTTTCCTCCAGCTTCAATCTATTTCACAGGCCATTGCTAGTCATCTAAGCACAATTATGATCATATTAAGTCCCCCACTCACAAACTTCAAAGGTTTTCTGTTTTCCACGAAATTAGGGGAAAAAAAAATCTCACTTGGGAATCAAACATCCTTCACAGTATAATGACTACCTACTTTTCCAGCTGCATTTCAATTCTTCTACCACTTGATACCGCATGTTTCAAGCAAACTTAAACCTATTCATCTTTCCTGAGTATGCCTGGGCTTTCAAGTCACTCACGTGTACATACACACGTCGAATTTTGGCATCCGTCTTTCTCAGTGTTTGGGATGACATGTTTTCTCATCCCTCTGCCATGTCTTTTGCCTTTTGTTCCTTGGACTTTGTAGTCAGTTCTGAGTCTCAGCGCACAGAAGTGATGAGAGATGTCTCATGAGTAGACATAGAACAGGGAACTCTCTGTCTTCCTGGTAATCTTGCCTCTGTTTTCTCTGTTAGGCCTACTCTTGTAACAACTAGAAATCTATCATTTTTGTTCGTTGAGAGTGTAGTCATCTTCTTCAAGTAACAGTATTTCAGGTTTTTTGGCTTTGGGGAACTAACTTCCCCTTACTGTCAGTTCATGGGATGATAAGACAAGGAGGCGTGTAATGTGGAAATACACTGAGCTGACGTATATAGCAGGGAGAAGTGATGGTCACACTATTCTAGGCTGGAAAGTCTGCAGTTTTGGTTATGTGGTAGCAAAACTTCTGTTGAGTGGTAATGTCTTATAGTGGAACACAGAAAATATGACAATCAAAGTTAGAGTTTAGGGACATAGAAAATTTCAGAGGCTCCTTCTCTCTGTGAGAAAGCAAAAATGTATGGCTTAGAACTTAAAAATAGTGATCCTTGGATGATGGGAAAATTAAAATATGAGTCCTAGGCTATAGTTAAACTAATTTCAACAAAGGAAGAAAGATGAAAGGGAAAGTGTGAAATTGTGCTGGGACCTGGAGAAAGCCTCCGCAAATTTCCCTACTGCTTATTATTTCCCCTTCCAATCAATGGAAACCATTGGCACCATTGTAAAGAGCCATGTGCAGAAATGTAGCCTGGTGTAAAGGGGCAGATAATTGCCACCACATCTCATACTGTGTTTGTGCATTGCTCTGAGGCCAGGGACAAGCAAAAAGCACTGAGACCTCAGACACTGAGACCCTCACACTTCTGGGATCTAGATTCAAGGCTTATGATAATGCAAGATCTCTGGCTCAGTAACTAGTTTATGGAATTGGATGAATGCAAATAGAAAACCCACAAACACTTGGAAAATTGTGTTTCTGAGAAACCTCACTTCGATTTGCCTTTCCAATGTTATCTCCATAGCCAAACTCCATGCGTTTTGGGTGCGGCTGGCTCAATATTTGATCTCCAGTTCAGATGCCTGATTGACTCAGATCTGGTCAATTAAATTTCCACATAGCCTAGAACACAGGGATTGCCTCATAGATGGACAGATGACCTAAAGTGGCCGATAATATGAGAGGTAAAAATTCTTTATCTGTTGTGGTCTAGAAGAACTTATTAGAAGTTCTTAACTGGAAGAACTTAAGTTTAGAGTTTTTGAAAGCCACTCAAAACTTTTTGCTTGAAATCAATACAGGAAAGTAGATCTGAGAGATTGGGGAATGGAAAATGCTTAAGAACTGAACATATTGTTTAAACTTATGAAGTATCTATATATAAAGACAATTCTATTCATAAACTTTTCTGTTCTGTGAGGGAATATATTTCCTTTTTCACTTGTGTCGATTTGGGATTCAGTCTCCAATAATAGAAATTCAGTAATTACCGCATAAACAGAATTGAATTAAGTTAAATTGAATTGAGATTGTTTCCATTGCCACAATTTAGAAGATTAAAACGATTCATCCATCTGATTAAAGATATACCTAACAAAAATTAACTACAGGGTGGATTCTACTTTGGGACGATAGTATTCCTTTGAGGTAATCTTTTCAATTCCCACTGTAATGCTTAAGAAGCACCAAAATTTGTGAACTCAAAATGACACTGAAAATTAGCGCCAAATATTATTCTAGTGCCAGAATCTGGGAGGAATTTCCACTAACAGCAGAGGAAATAGAACAGAACTGAAAAAAACACCCATCATGATGCACTGCAGGATGAAAACAAGCCTCATGATCTGAAAGTGAATGAAAATATTTATCACTCGCTATTTATTTCCTATTTCCAAACAAGTAGGCTCTAAACAAACTTGAAAACTCAGAGGCACCTTGTACTGCCCGGTGCCTCTGTTCCTCTCTTCCCTTAACCCTCAACCCCACACACCCCTGGTAGTGCTGTTAGCGTGTTTTCTGTGAGTAAACTTTCTCCAGGCGGGAAGTAAGATGGAATACCAAGGGTTTGTTGTCAGCCTGAATTCTAGGAAGCAAGCTGAGAGAAACTCTCATCTCAGGACACCATAACTTCACAAGCTACATGCCTAGCAAGGCCAGATTTGGGATAGGAGTTGTGTGTTTCTGTTTAACTTCCAGTTTTAGACCTAAAAATACTAAACATGTGCACAGAGAATGAAGGGAGACTGAAGATTCCATACTTGATTGACTAATACATTTAAGTGTATGTGGATTTGATATTTTCTGAGGATTGGGCTCATTTCATTAATGAGATTTCTCCTAGTTTTAGAGTAAGTAAAAAAGAAATAATACACCATGACAAAAATGAGGCATGACCAAATGGAAGACTCAGAGAAGGAATAAACCTCACCAAAGGAAATGACACAAGGAATGTAGGAATATCTTTTTTTTAATGATTTGCCATTCTCAGTATACAACAAGAATCTGTGGTTCTTCAATATGGAAAGAGAAAACTAAAGGAAAAGCTGTCAGAGACTAAAAACAACTTGATGATGTAAAAAAGTTCACTGAAACTAGGTAGGAGTACATGAAAATTAAAAATTTATTGAATAGCAATATGAAAGTATTGTTGGAAGCTTTAAAGAATAGGATTTCAGCTTTTTCAAGTTTTGACTGACCTTACAGTCTTTGACATCAGATTTTTCTAATTTTTTTTTTTCTTTTTAGTGCAGAGTTGTGGAATAATGAGTCATGGATGAAAAGTAGAAACAGGAGATTGACAAATGTAAGGAGAGGAAGATGGCATCTCTGCTGTACATAAACCAAGTTCTCTAATGGTTGAGAGTGTTAGTTCAATCTTAGTGGGTTATATGTTCCCTTCGAGGGTAAAGACTTCAAAGAGAAAAAAGTGAGTATTTATTTCTGCTATTGTATATGACTTGCTCTTGGGGAAAAAAAACAAAACCCAAAAAACATCAACACCAAATTCATAGAATCAAAGGGTGCAATGGTGATTGCCAGAGGCTGAGGGGACAGAAAAATGAGGAGTTACTAATCAGAGGCCATAAAGCTTCAGTTAATCAAGACGAGTAAGTTCTAGAGACCAGCTGTATACACTGTAGCTATAGTCAACAACAGTGTATTGTACACGTAATTTGTTAAGAAAGTAGATCTTAAATGTTAAGTGTTCTTATCACAATAAGATAACAAGGTAAAAAAAAATTTTTTTAAGAGAAAAGTGTTGAGAAAAAAACAACAACAAAAGTACCTGGCACAGGAGAGATTTAATATATAATCGAAGATAACTTTCTTTTGTTACAATTGAGTTTTGTAGATTGAATAACTAAAAATTCAGAATTAATCAGTCTCCATCACAAACAAACTTACCAGAAATGGAGGCAGGAGAAAAACTTAAAGATTTGTTGTTATTAATGAGTTAAAACACAATTAAGACATTAAGGGAGGGGGTGGTGAAAGTTACAGACAAAGTTATGATGATGTGCATTAAATTAGTCAAGTGGGATTAAGTCAAAATACTCATTAGAGATTTGTTCTTAAAAGTATTTAAAGCTTAAAAAATATATGCCTGAAAAGCGAACAGATAATGGAAAAATAAAATGCTAATAACGATAATCTTGTTCCTAATCCCCCTCCCCAACCTGGAAAGTGAAGAGAGATGGTGACAAGACGTGGGAGAAGTACAGACAGGTCAGTATTTTCTCAAATTATAGAATTCGTTGTTGACTTTGATAAGTAGATAAATATGTTTAAAATGTTCTTTAAAAATAAAGTATCACTAGTAGAATTTCTAAAAGCTTAAAATATATTTCTCAAAGTGCTAAAGACTTAAAAAGGTGGAAAAACAAACAAGCAAGTAAACATTAGAACAAAATGTTAACAACATTAGAATACTGTATTACTGAGTAAAGCAAGCAGGCTGTGAAAATAAAAGTACGATATGGGCTCACTTGTTAAACTCAAGAAGAAATAACTAAAATGTTAGTGGTGGTTATATCTGGCACAAAATTATAATTTTTTCTATGTAATTGTCTTTGTCTTATACATGGAGTACAAAATTACTTTTGTCATCAGAAAATTAGCTTTTCTTTTAAAAAGAGAAGAAACAAATGTAAGCGCCGATGTAGACTAATTCTAGAGGGTGTGGCGGAGAAACAAAGAGTTGAGGAAATTTGAGAACTTAAGTGTTTGAAGCAAGAATTTCGAAGTATATAAAAAGATGTACATATTTGTGGGGCGAGAAAGTGGAGAAGGTTAGCTTATATTTGCAGCTGTGTTTTTCTCAGTTTAAAGACTGCTCCTGGGAGCACGATTTAAATGGGCAGAAAAGCATGATTGACCCTAGTGAAATAATGGAGTATATAAAGTCTGTCTTCTGATTGCATCAGTTCCTTTAGTTTTTTGTTCTTATCTCTTATACCTGAGCATTCCATAGCCAAAAGTTCAATTGGCCTTGTGCGATTAATCCAGCAGCAAAGAAAAATATAGAGCCCTAACCACAGTATAATTTTAAAAAGTGTTGAAATATAAAATCAGGCGAGCAATTTCAACAAATATTGGATTTTTCCAGTCTCCCTTCTTTTGGAAATGTCATTTGTTGAAATATTAGGAAAAAAATGTCTGCCTTTGCTTTGCCAGTGCCTTGGCAAGTGGTTGATAATCAAAACTACAATATCTTCATATTTCTTCCCACAGCAAAGTCTCTTCTATGTGATTCATTTACGAGCATTAACATTGAAGTAACTGATCACGTTTCAACCAGGCCTCACCAGGAGTGATGTCAGTTAATAATGCTCCGTGTCTTAAGTTAGATTAATTTTCATCATCTAGTAGGAGGGGAGGCATCCTGGAGAAACTAAAGGTCTCTCATCATGACTGTGCTCTGGCCTAAATCTTATGAGTCACACAGGACAAGCAATTCTTTTTGCCCCTTTTTCCTTTCTTTGTTCATATGACACCAGTGAAGTTTGTGGATTCCTTTTGAAAAGAATTAGTGAAGTCATTCCAAAGATGGACACACAGGGGTCAATGTTGAGGTTTTTAGAGGCTGGCGTAAATAACCATCACTACTGTCTGTTCCACAGGGCTCCTTCTGACTCTTATCTTAGATGGACTGTTTTAAATCTCTCCCATCCTGCCCACATTGATTTTGATGGATGTTTAATCAACATTCATGTCTTCTAAGTATGAAACCTTGTGCAATCAATCTTTGTAAAATAAAGCAATTACAATATGTTTATTAACTTGTTCATTTAATCTTTCCACAAACTTTTATTTCGTACTAAGTTTGGTCAGACATTTGCTAAGAAATGAGGATACAAACATGAATAGCACAAATTTCTACCCTGATGGAGTTTATGATCCAGTGGGGTATGATTTCAGAAATCTTTATATTCCACCATTCATGATTCTATTAGCTCTTCTACAAGTAAGTTGGAGGGTGTGGAGGGAGAGGTGGGAAAGGCAGGTGAGATACCTACCGGAATTTGCCATGGATGTCATCTCCTCCTGTCAGTCCTTTCCTTAGCATCTCTGAGAATTACAAGAGCAAGGTCTGGCCAAAAGGGAGCTCCGTCTGCCTCCAGGGGTCAGTCTCTCCTTGAAAATCCTTCCCCGAATCGCCTGAAGCCACTTCTAAGGATCACAGACTTTCAGGTAAGAAGAAGTCTTCAAGAATTTTTCTTGTATAGAGAAACCAGTTCTACGTTTTCTTTCAAACATGAACTGAATCTCAAGCAAGTTTTTCCCTTTGATTGAGATGGAAGGGCTTGTGAGGGTGCTGTACGTTTACATGCACTTTCATATGTCTTTGAAACCTAGACAAAGATTTTTGCCTTAGGCCACTAAGGGAGTGAATATCACAAAAGGGATTAGCATGCTGTGCTTCATAGCGTCAAATCTTGGATTGAGGTATTAGATCATACTTTTAATTCAAAAAAGCTTCACATATGTCCAATGCAAGTCAGAATCATGAAGGCACATGACTGAAAAGAGAAAAAAGATTGGCTTTAATTTGAAGTGAATCTACTGTGATGGTTTATTTGAAAGACAACACAAACTTGTGCATTCAGGATGCTAACATTCTAGCCCCACTAAGAGGCCACCCCATAACCACAGGTACATGCTATTTAAGATCTGCCTGCTTTTAGGAACCCCTCCTTCATTCTACCCTGTCCCAAAAACTCACTTAGCAATTAACAAAATGAAAGCATTCTCTTTCTGGAATTTTGACTTTCAGGTGGGGAATTTAATTTGCAAAACTGCCTGCAACTAATTAAAATGAGTAGTCACTGTTGGTTTCAAATGGATTATCTCTGAGAAAAATCACACTTCAGATTGTCAAAAGAGGGTTTATATCCTGATTTTGGAAAAGCATCTCCTTCCATTGTAAATGCTTTCTCTGTTCAGCCGACTGATGCTCATTCAAAGTAATGGAATCTGAAACCTGAAGCCACACACTGAAGCTGATTGATAATCTAAGGTTAGTTTCATACATAGATGCTTTACATCAGAGTATTTTTGAAAGAGTCCTTATTCCTTTTTCCTTTCTCTTCTCATTTCTTTTGCTTCTGACAGCTATTTCTGTTGCAGAATATACAACCAAAGAAGTGATGTTGTAGATTTAGAGACTAAATTTAAAATATTTTTTAGCTCACCAGATATTTGTTTGTATTGAGCATTTTCACCAAGACTCTTCACAGTTAATTTCATGTATATAATCCAATAACAATCATGTCATAATTGAAGGAAGTATAGCTATAATGCTGCCAACTTTAAAGCGAAATTCTGCATGTCTGAATACTTGAACATTTTTTTGTTGTTGTTTAAGCAGCCTAACTTTTTCAAGTTTAATCAAAAATTCAAATTTCAACCCACTTGAATACTAATATGGACTTCATTTTCTTACACTGATCAACTTGAATTAATTTGGTTAGTCTAATTATAATAGAATAGGTCTAGTAACATTTATCATCTTTAGAGAGTTGATAACAGGAAGTGTTCACAATGTGCCTGTTTCTATACCCAGTACTCCAATTTTTCTTTTTTAAGTAAATCAGTTTAGTATTTGTATGAACTAAAGGGTCAAGAAATACTAAAGATTGAAAGAATTTTATGTTTTAAATATAAGTCAGTAACATTAAGCTACTGCTCATTAATGTAGAGGTAATATAAACAAAAAATTGTTTTCATGAATTTGAATAGGGATAAATGATACAAAATTAAATGAATTTCAACAATACAAGAAAATAGGCAGCTCATTATATTTTGATGCCTTATCACTGTGAGTAGGTTCAGAAAGGATTTTCTGATTTACTTCTTCCTTCAGGAATATTAGTTTACACTATATGAACAAATGGATCACCTTTACACAAGTTTTGAATTTATGAAGAGATTTGAATGCTTGGAACCATAGAAAAGAGATGTCACTGCTTAATTTTCTTAAATTATCAGAAACTTAATTTACAATCACAAATGACCAGTGATATTAAACAAAACTATGTAACATTATGATGTTTAAAAATATCACTCTAAAGTGGAAGTAAAATATAAATATATTTGTACTTATATATTTTCTTGCATACATGTTTTTCGTTACACTTTGCTGGTTTGAAACTGGTTAGGAATTGTCTTTTAAGAGAGCTATCTAGAAATTAAAAATAGTACTAATAACATTTTGGAAACATTTGTTATGATTCATCTCTCTAGATTCATGCTCCAACAAGTATACAGTTTAAAAGAAACATAAATGTGCATCATTTAGGAGTATGCCCAAAGAATACTGTGCTAAAAAACACAGAGCATTCAGAGAGAATGGGTGATTACAAAATGCATGATAGTAATAGGTATTGAAAAGAAATGTGAAAAAAATCAGGAAGATATTTAAAGTTTAAGCCCATTTTGAGCACACAGAAAGGGTCCTGTACACCAATACTTAAATTTTGTTTTCTGGCAATGTGTTGCTCCCATAAATAACATTGATAGTTGACTTAGCTAATTTATGGGTTAACCCAGGTCATTCTCATTAATTTACCAAAAGCTTTAAAACCATTAGCCGTGCTTGCCTTTGATCATTTCTTAAGTTTGCCCCAGGATTCTTTTCTGAAAACTGTTAGTTTACCTCTCCCATTTTTTATGATATAATCCTCAATCTTTCACTCATGTTGTGTGTTCTTTCGGTGTTGATCTGTGCCCCACTAAATCACTTCAGTTTTCCTTAATGGGTCAGGATTAAGAGTTTCCAACTTGAACACACACTTAGGTGCTTTTTCATGTACATTCCCTACTGCCTTCTATGCCAAGGGCAATGTGGAGCAAGTGACAGCCTTAAAAATTAATATTTTTTATTTTTTTGGAAATCACTACTAGAAAAAAAGGCGGGGGGGGAATGACAACTGCTTGGGGCATAACCTGTACGAAGAAGCAAAATACTCACATCTGCCTCATAAAAAAAAAAAAATCCCACAGATTTTGCTATCAGGTGGAGAAAGTTGGGCTAACTTTTTTTGCCAGAGGTTTACCAAAAAAAAAAAAAAAAAAAAAGAAGATTTACATCTTGGAATGTTTTCCTGACTCAGAGGAGGGCACTGTCCGTGCTTTCACTGGGCAGCACAAAGCATGCACGACCGTCGGGTCGAGGGGCGGGAATCGCACTTACTTCCCACATGCTGTGCCTGATGACATCTGTTCTATTTGCTGTATCTCAGCTCCTAAAGAATGACAAGTTCAACACAAAATCTTTAACTGGATACCCAGACATATATTGTAATCTTTCAGCAGTCTCTGCGACCATAATCATGGATGAAAACAGTCAGAAAGGTGGGATAATAGTATAGAATGGGCATGGATATTTGAGTCAAGAGAGATCTGTGTTCAGATTTCGGTTCTTCCATTTAACCTCTTTCTGCCTCAGTTCATCTATGAAAAGGGATAGTGATACCTATTCTGTGTGTTGAGATGAGTTATTGGAAACAATGTATACATTGTGCCTAACACAATTCCTAGTACTCAGGGAATATGCATTTATTTCCATAACCCCTTGTACCATGATCAACAACTCCAACGTTGGGCTGAAAGGGAAGTTTAAAAAGGCAAATGGAAATGTCCTTTAATATTTCTGATCATGACAGGCCATTGACACTCTGAAGGATACACTTAAAGACACAGATAACAAGAGGTCATACTATATCTGGTTATCTTGTATGGATCGATTCTTGTCATAGTTAAGGACCATGGATTCACCCAAGCTAGGTTTTCTGAATGGAAGTGTGTTAGGGAAGCCCACAATGGGAATATAGATAGCTTTTCAAAAAGTATTGTTTTCTTTATTGGAGGGTCTTGACTTCAACTGTATTTACAGAAGGAGATAAGACTCCAGTGGTAGTTTCCCAAAAGAGTATCTTTTCACTTGCTTTTCTCTCTTCACATGGGTCGGCAATGTTTTCTTCCTAGCTACTAATTTTTCTCTTGGAGTGAAAATAGAATGTTCTAAATAATTTAGGACAACTGAGAGCCTTAAGGGATTTTAGATTTCACTGAGGCTCATATCAAATGACTAATATGTTGAAGTGTTCTAAGTGTTTGGAATTATTCTGGGCAAGGAGGACTGCCCCTTTATTGATTGTAGACTGAAGAATATCATGGAGACTTCTACTCTCCTAACGTGAAACCCAGGGATAGTTCAGAGCCTGATACCTGTCAGAACTGAGAGTTAAAGATACCCCATGAAGAGCACATCTTTAACTGTGAATGTTTTGACCACCTCTCGACTTGTGTTTTCCTATTACATAGTTTAAAGTAGAAGAAATGGTAACCAAATGTGATAGGATTTTCATATCTTAAGTTGAATTTCTATGACATGATGCCTAAGCTAAGCGAAATATTCCTTATATGATTTGATCAGAGCAGAGTTCTGTGGTACTAATTTTACTAAATTTTGTTCTGGATAACCTGCTTCTATCAGTTTGGTCTGTAATTGCCTTAGGTTTTTGTTTGTTTGGTTGGTTGTTTGTTTCTTTCTTTTATACCTTTTTCCTATTGTCATGTCATCCTTAAACTTTGGGTCATTTTTGTCTCCACATCATTTCACACAAATGTCAAAGCCACATTTCCTCTATTCTGTTAAGATACTTCAAAGTTAAAAAAGAGGATTTTATACAGTTTAATAAATTTCGCTCTGTTTATTTTGGCTAATCTTTCTGGAAGATCAAATTTTTAACAAATTTTGATTTAACCATTCAACAATACATGAAAGTATCTTTTGACTCTGAGAAGTCTATAAACCTGATCAAAATGTTTTTCTTACCTTAATTTATATCTGATAAAACTGAAAAGCAAAACAGGATCACACCATAGAAACATCCTTTTGCTTTGACACAACACTGCTTGCACCAGAGAGGCAGAACTCAGCAGTATTATCAGTCATAACTCTATAGCTTAATGGTCAGGAAAAGGGTATTTCTCCATTTTACCAACATGGATGTCATGAGGCTCCACCAGAAATTTCTTTGAAATTATGAGTCATTCTTTGATATCTTTTCTTTTTTTAACATTTTTTATTGATTTATAATCATCTTACAATGTTTGATATGTTTTCTTAATCTACCTGTTTAGTAAACTTATTAAGCATAGAGTTGATGTTGGTTTAGACTTTTTCT